AGATCTCTGATCCAGGACTCCCACTGAGGTCTTAAGTTCTCTGGTAGATCTTCATCCCATCCGATCTTGTCTCTGCACATTTTCTGGAGTATCTGTTTACCCAAGAGGATGAAGGGTGCCATGAACCCCAGGGGATCATACATGGAGGCTACGGTAGAGAGCACACCTCTTCTTGTTAGAGGATTGGGTTTTACTTGAACTCTGAACTTCAATGAGTCAGATGTGACACACCACTCTGCTCCTAGAGCTCTCTCCATATGCGGTGAACTTAAAGCCATGTCAAGATCTTTAACTGCTGCACGTTCTTCTTCTGGGATGGTCGCCGTCACATTCTCATTGTTAGAAACAAACTTGTGGAGTCTTAACTTCCCAGTGCAGTAAAGTTCTCTGGATTCTTTGACAAGTTGAATGGCTTCTTTCTCAGTTTCAACGCTTACCAACCCATCGTCGACGTAGAAGTTTCCTTGAATGAAGCGCACGGCGTCTTCACTGAACTGACCCTGCCCTTGTGCTGCCAGATGTTTTAAGCCGAAGTTGGCACAGCCAGGAGACGATGCTGCTCCAAACAAGTGGACCTTCATTCTGTAGATGGATGGTTTGGTTTCTAAGTTTCCGCTCTCCCACCACAGGAATCTTAGATAATCTTGATCTTCCCCTTTCATGTGAAACTGGTGGAACATTCTTTCGACGTCACACATGACAGCAATAGAACCTTTGCGAAAGCGACACAGTACACCCACCAACGTGTTTGTCAGATCAGGACCAGTGAGCAGATGGTCGTTGAGGGATGTTTCCTGGTACTTGGTAGAACAGTCGAATACTACTCGTATTTTTCCTGGTTTCTGTGGATGATAAACTCCATGGTGAGGAATGTACCAAGCTGGATTGTTGTTGATTTCTTCCTCAGGGACCTTCTCTGCGTCACCACGTAAAATGATGTCATCCATGAAGTTGACGTAGTCCTTGTAGTACTTCTGATCCTTTTTTAGTCTTCTTTCAAGACAATTTAGGCGGTGTACTGCGCACGTCTTGTTGTTAGGTAATTTTGGTCTTTCGCCTTTGAATGGTAATGGAATTTTGTAGTGACCATTCTCTTTGTGTGTGATGCTTTCTCTCAACTTCGACAGGAACTTGAGATCTTCTTGGGACACACAACTCTTTCTGAGAAGTCTGATTCGAGGATTTTTATGATTTCTGAGGGAGTAATGTCTTTAACTTTGTTTCGGCTCACATAGTGTACTTCAGTTTTGAGACTGAGAGAAGGTTCTACACCTGGTGTCACTTGTCTTACTACTATGCGATGGCTAACACCAATGGCGTCTCCGTAATCTAGACAGGGATTCAAGTTTCCGACAATACTCCATCCAAGGTCTGTACGTTGTGCGTAAGGTTGATTTTCTTTTCCAGACACAACTTCTCTTGGAAGTAAAGCTTGTGAGCAGTTGTACCCTATGAGCAGACCCACTTCACAGTCTTGTAGAGGTGCAATCTCTCCTTGGAGGTGCTCTAGATGAGACCAAGCTTTTGCAGTTTCATCTGTTGGTATGTGAGTTCTGTTCGCTGGAATGAAGTCACGTGTATAGACTGGTGGTAAGGGAATCTTTTTACCGGAGTAAAAGCCTCTGACTTGTAGGTTGTTCACTCTTTGAGCGCTTACAACTGTGGTTCTTGAGGTCATAGTAGATAGCTTGAGCTTGACTTGTTGTTTACTTGCTTCCAAAGCCTCAGCTACTTCACTTAGCACAAATGTTGTGTCACTTTGAGAATCCAACAGAGCATATACAAGGATTTCTTCTGCTGGTTGACATGTGGATGAAAGCCAGACTGGAATTATAGCAGCTGTTTGCGTGTTACCTTCACCAAGTATTACTCTGTTTGAAGTAGCCGCTGTGGTTCTTTCTTCTTGTTGTGTTGGTTGAGGTCTTTCTTTGTATCTTTCTTGATTTGTATGTTCTTCATGCAGACAGGTAGGATTTTTTTGCTTCTTGCACACTTCACATACACTCCTACTGTGGCAGCTCCTTGACTGATGGCCAGTCTCGAGACATCCAAAGCATAGCTTCTGAGCTTGAATGTACTTAATTCTGTCTGGAACAGCTTGCTCCATGAACTTCCTGCAATTGTGCAAGGAATGCCAATTCTTCTTACAGAGAATACATGTTAAGACGGTGTTTTCGTCTGAACTTGTGGTCAGTGTCTTTGCTGCAAAGCTTTGTTGTCTTTGAGATTTGGTGTTTTCAGCTTCACCTTGCTTCAGTGATTGCAATGATGTGACAGGGTTACAGGCAATCTTTGCTTCTCTTGTCAAAAACTTTACAAATTGGCTGAAGGAGGGAAATTGTTTACTGTCTTCTTGGACTTCAGTAACCTTCTGATTCCAGCTTGCAGTTAGCCAATCTGGTAATTTTGAAAGTATTTGCCTGTTTTCATTACAGTCATTCAAGATTTCTAATGCCTTGATATGGACCATGGCAGCCTCGCAACTACGGAGAAAGTCTGCAAAATCTCTGAGCTCAAAGCTGTCCTTAGATCCTATCTTGGGCCACGATTGAAGCTTGTCTCTATAGGCTTTTGCAATTGTAAATTGATTCCCATATCTCTCCTCCAAAATCTCCCATGCTGCAACATAGGCAGACTTGGTTCCGAGCAGGAAATAACCATCAAGTGCTTTCTTAGCTTGTCCACTAACATATCTCCTTAAGTAGTATATATTTTCTTTGTCTTGGATGTTCTTCTGGTCAATCAGTATTTCAAATGAAAGTTTCCAGTCATTGTATTTCAATGCATCCCCACTGAATACTGAAGGTTCAGGAACTAGAATTCTGTTGGCAGTTAAGGCACCAGCTAGCACCTTAACAAGCTCTGCTGTACTTTCACTTGAGGAAGTAGTGACAACCTGTCGTTGAGGACTTGTGGGAGCAGGCAATGGGTTACTTACCAGATCCCTCTCTAGCACGTCTTTCCATTCTTCTCTAATGGACTCTTCTTGGTCATACACTTGCATTCTTGCTCGTGCTGCATTGAAATCTTTTACTGCTTCCAACTGCTGTATTTTTCTCCGTTTGTCATCCAGAGTCTGTTGTAGAGCTACATGCTCTTCTTCTAGACAAGCTTTAATTTTAGCTTCCTCTTCCTCTCTTTCTGAACAATGTCTTAACTCTTCTGATTCTCTTTCTAAACGACGCCTCATGGCTGCAGTCTCTTGATCAGCCATCTTTCTTTTAGCTTCTGCTTCCAGGCGCTGAATCTCCAAATGTTCTCTTTCTTGTTCTTGTAACACTTTCAGAACAGCTTGGCTTGCAGCAGCCTCAGCAGCAGCTTCTTGTCGTTTCTCAGAAGATTGGTTCGATTGCTTGGAGTTGCTTTTCGAAGAAGAAGTGTAGGTGCTTGAGTTAAAGAGAGAACCTGCTTCAGGCCAATCTTTCTTGTCTCCTTCTGGAACCTTTCCATCCAGGAGACTTGAGGCTCTGATGATGACAAACTTAGAAATCTCTGCAAACAGATCCACTCTTCGACGCGTGTCCTGGTCTGGAGTTGAGATTGTACGGAGATCCTCATAAACATGTTGGACATCTTCTGACAAACTTGTGACATCATGAATTATGTCATTAAGCAAATCTTCAGACAAAGACTCTGTTGTTTGAGATAATGGCCGCTTAGCTGTTTTCACTTGTGTTCTCCATTTCTCATAATTGTAGTTGAACTTTTGTAGGAGCGTTTTCATTTGTTCTTCTTGCATTTCTCTACCCTTTTCTGTAGGAGTTTTAGTTCTTTGACCTCTTCTTAGCTGCTGTGCTTCAGTGTTATCCACAGCTTCGTCTTGGGACTCTGCACTTTCCCTAACCTGAATTGTAGGCTCACTAGACTTAGACATTAGTAATCACTACTTTAAAGTGACTCACTTTTATAAACAGCAAAATGCAGTTAAACCTTTTAATGAACTTTCAACACTTACTCAAATGTAAGTGTGACTTAAATGTAAGACTTCAATAGAGGTACAAATGCACTTAAAATAGAAAATGTGCAAAAAACAGCTTAATTGAACTTTACACCTTTCAAAAATATACTCAAAAATAAGACTTCAGAACTTCAATGAAATAACTTTCACTTATTATTCCCAAAAACACACTTTGAATTAGAAATTGGAAATAAAAACACTTATGTTCCCTTTAACTTTACGCCTTAATTAACAAGCCTTAATAAAATAACATGAGCAAATAAGTCAAAACGCTAACCACACACGCTACTATAGTTGGCACTCACGGTAATAATGGTTTAGCAAACCTTTACAGAAGCCCTTTACTCAGATCACTCTTGATTTCTTAGTGTCCAAGTTCTTTATGGCTCTGTCTTGAAGCGTTGCTCTTTTAAGAACTGCGCGCGTCGTCCACTTCTGTGTGTGCATGCGTAGTTTCTCCTCCTCCGGCGGCCATTTGAAGACAGCCTCGTGCTCAGTCCGTGATCCTCTGAAGTTGCCGCTTCGTCAATTAAGACACACTCGCGTCGATGGACAGTCGAGTTTTCACTGTAATTCCCTCGAAGCACAGGCAGACACAAGTGGCTTTCTCATTACGGGTTTATTCCTCCGAATCCACCGTGAAAACTACACAAACAAACAGTATAAATGACAAACATAGTTTCGTGTTAGACACACAATAACATGCACTTACAGGTGTTGTTTGGTGAGGGAATGCTATGCTGGAGCTCTGTACAGCTATTAAAGGTCAAGTACCACTCCTGAAGAGCTAAAAGTCGTTTTAATCCACGGATAGATGGTCATCAATTTTTCTTTACTTGATCATCATAAACTTCTCTTCCTTTCTAGCGTCAGCCCATTCTTATCTAATCTTTCAGTTTGTCATTAGGAAAATCTAAATTATGATTCCACACGCATATCACTTGGCGTGACTGAATTTCTGTATAATGATGAGATGGATTTTGTGGGTGTCATATGTGATCTTTTCTCAGGGTACTTTAACTACAATTGTTTCTGTTCACAGCAGTTATCATGGAAGACCGTGAAGACGAGGGCCGTTGAGGGAAAACATAAAAGGTAATCCATTTACCTTTATCATATTGAATTAATGAAATCTCTCCATCTTGACTGCTCGCACTTGATCCATCGACATTAAAGCGCTCAACCTTTCAACTACGATTTTCAGAGATTGTAAATATTGCCTCAAACAAGCGTCTGAAAAGCAGTGACTTTGACGGTTCAAATGAACCACCCACACATCATTCCAATCAGAGGTTGATTTCACAAAGATTTGCTGGACTAGTTTGTATCATGTAGAGCTTAACCAGTCTCAATGTAGCTTATGGACTTGTATAATGGGAGTTGATTGGACAAAAAACCTTTTTAAGCCAGAAAGTTAGCCCTCCTATCCAAGAACATGTCTGAACCAAGACCCTGCTGACAGCTGAAAGATGGTCACACCTGGGAGAAGAATGCCAATATCTTCCCTCTGTGGTGTTTGGCCTTCATGGTGGAGGGATTGACTTCATGTGTTCCTGATATCTCACTTTGGCTGCCACTGTTTCCCTTGCCCTTCATATTTGTCACATTGTATATAGTCTCTTACAACACGGTCTTTTTTTTTCTTCTAGAGATATACTTGGCATCAACGTAGTGTTAACCTTTACATTCTTTCTTCCGGTAGTCAATTGTTCTCAAGTGATTTGCATTGAGTGGATAGCTGCTGCTAAGCCCATGGAACGTATCCTATATAATTAAACGTGTTCAGAAACACATGTGGGTATTCTTCCTCCATCTTTCATTGCCAAACACCCCTCAGTGGTATTGTCTCTGCTGGAGTGCTGCAGGGGAAATGCATGCTCTTGTTGAGAGCTTAAAGAGCTGGAGGAAGTCATTGAACACACTGTTCCCCCTCCTTCTTCCTGTCTTTCACATCCCTCACCCGTTATCATCTGTCTATGAAATGAAGTGCATTACAATATTCCCACAGGGCCAAATGCACCAGAGAACTCAAGTACCTTGCATGATAAATGATTCACAGTTGGGAACAAGTGCAGCTGATGAATGCTGTCCATTGATGAATTGGGTTTCTATAATTAAGGGCTGATATTGACCTTTTATGATAAGTTGTCAGCGTTGTCCACTTTTCAAGTGATAGATGTAATGATTGCATATTTATTGTAGAATTGATTACTGTACCCTTGTATTATATTGTCTATACGATTCAATTGATTATTGAGCTTATTCCATTGGCTGACTCATATACTGAAAGAAAATTGCAGGTCACGGCTAAAGACAAAGTTATAAAACAGTCTATTTAATACTAAATATTAAAATGTAGGTATATTTTAATTTGAGATTAGATTACATTTGATTCAACTTTATTGTCATTGCACAAAGTAAAAGTACTGAGACAACACAATGCAGTTAGCATCTAACCATATGTGAAAAAGAAGCAATAAAGTGCACTGTTATTTATAGTATAATACAAGAATAAACATACGACAGACATACAAAAGTGTTGGTAGAGGGTGTGTTACTACGGCGTCTCAGCAAATGTCAAATCTCCGGCCGTAACGTCCAATAGATCTTCAGTGTCATCAGTTTTAAAGCTCTCCAGTGTGTAACTTTCACCACAAAGAAGATACTATTAGGCTTTTTAGAGATTTCCCTTTCCAGAGCTATTGTATCTAAGTGCAAAGGCTTACATCCGAAAAGCTCTCTGGAGGGAGTTTCTCTCCAACACACTCCCCCCCGCCCTGCCTAAAACATCTTGAGTTGAACATTTTGTTTACTTCAGTAACATAGTGACATCATTATGTAACACTTATGCTTTTATTGGCTTAGGTGGAACTGCTCTCAATGCAAAAGCACTTCTCGAACATTAAAGCAAGTAAACATATCACAATAGAGGCACGAAATACAAATATGAACCTGAAATGTGTCCTCCTTAATAACTATTGGCAACCGACTGTAGACACATACTAAAAAATACACATATCACAACATAACGAGCAATCCCAGTTTGAAGAAAGCAGACCAATGGAGCCATTTATAAAGACTTCAATCATTATAAAGGGGGGTTTACAATGTATGATGCAACATTAACCGTAAAACAACTGATATCAATGGTATTTGCTGCTTGGCAGAAAATGTTTGCCATAAATCATGCTGATGCTGCAGACTTTGTAGACTGCATACATGCACAGCTCTTCCCTCTTATTATCATTTCAGAAATCGCCCAAATTCTCCATTGTAATTAAATGAAACTCTACCGTTTTGTTTTATTCTTATTCTCAGCCATGTTGTGTCTGAATTCCAGCAGCGTTTGCCTTGTTTACCCATGTCCTCCTGCTGCACTGCACCTGTAGCAGCAGCAGCTCTCAATGTGGAGCTTTAACATGAATGTTGTCTTGACGGACAGCAACTACTGTTTAGGTTGCATATAGCCCCCTGCTATACTAGCGCTAGGCTGCTTTCATGGTTTTATTGGGGGGGATAAATGCATGTGTTGCAAATATTGAAGGGATGTCCCCCCTGCAATCTCCCCGAAAAACCTGCAGCTATAAGCTTTCAAAAACATTTTCCCAAATAGTCTTTTCATATTTGCCTCAGATTGTGTTGCCCCTCCTTTTCTCTTTCCTTTCCTTCCTCTTCCCCTCCTCTAGTCTCAAAGGCCTTTTTTACTATTTCATCTGTCCTCCTCTCTCCTCCTCTGCCGTAACTCACTTACAGTTTGCCCTCCTCTTCCAGTCTCAATTTCTCTCATTCCTTCTCCACTCATACCAGAATTCATACCTATGCTGCCTCTTTTCAGCTCCCTATACTTCCTTTTCTATAAGTTATGCAGCCTCCTGCTAAGCCTACATCTGGAGCCGCTGCTGAACCATCTTCTTAAATTCCTGGCATGTTTCTTCTCTGAGCCAGGCATCCTGTGGCTGGCTGTCTCCACTCAGGATCCAACAGAATAAATGATACTGTGTCCTCACACAACCTATGCACATGGTAGGATAGGAACATCTACAAGCCGGTATTTTAGCTAAACGAACAAATGGAGCAGTGATCCAGGATGGCCTGCCTTTATTGACTTAGCTGTACGTTTATTAGAGGCTGCAATGGCAGGATTACATAATATATTAAAACACCTGTATGATGTTGCCATTTTCCAATCCATCAGATGACTACCATGAAAGCATGTGTGTATAATTCCAAATGCAAGGCTTAAGAAGTTTTTGGCAGATACATTTCTCAAATGATTGACCTGCTCAATCACTGTTAGAAATGTCTTGAACTTAAAAACAGCCGTCCTACATTCTTTGCAGCCATGCTTTAGTCTTCCTCTTCCACTAAGTCGTGCAGATGTGTACCATCCTTGCATGTGTTTCTGAACAGGATCATTCCTAAATAAGTAGCCATCCATATGTTTTCCTCTCTCCTTCTCCTTTGTCGTATTCAACAAAGGCCACCCTTTCGCTGTAATGGTAGCCTCCTAGCACATCCTGTGGCCTTCTGCCCTTCAGATCTACAGGGAGGGCTTCCTGGCAGGACTTGAGTCAGATCTCTCTTTATTGAGCTGTCTCGTGGTTAAAGCAGACCAGGGAAGACATTCCCAGAGATTTCAATCATTATCAAGGTGTTTGCAATTAATAATGCAACATTAACAGTACCATTTCGATGACTAGAGGTATTTGGGTATTTGTTGCATTGCAGAGATATACTGCAAAAATCTATTCTAACTCTCTCACACACTCCCCCCCCCCCCCCCCCCCCCCCCTGCCCTAAATGCCTCCATTGGACTCCTTTGTTTACTTCTGTAACATAGTGACATCACTATTTAACACTCACACTTCTATTGGCTAGCACTCCAACACATTGTACGTGATAGGCTAAGGACTCTCCAAGCAGTTGACAAATAACAACACAGCCGGCCAGCTAACCAATCAGAGCAGACTGGGCTCTGGTTTCAGGCAGAGGGTGAAAAGAGGTGCTGCAGCACAGGCAGTATGAGAAAAATAAAGAGGACAATTGGTTAACTTAGTAGAGTTGATGTTTTTAGTCCAGATGGGATTAGGTCTAAGTTTTGAATTTGAATTTGTATTAAATTCCTCCATACAGTACACAATTTATTTCCTGATATTTTATGTCAAATGTTAATTATACTGACATTTCTGAAACAAATTCCCTTTAGGTAAAATGACTTTCAAAATCAGCACGTTGACAAGTTCTTTGTTGTTAGCTACTTACACAGCTAATCCGGTCATTCAAGGTCTGACTCACACTCCAATAGAAGGGCTCAGTACTCTCCAACAAAGTGTCAACAAGCCTCACTTGCAACACCTTTCTGATGTCAGAGTTGACCTGCGTACAACAATTTAGTAACTTTCTAAAACTTTCGGATGACTCAGGCCATTTTTCATTCTACACAAAACTCCTTCAGTGACCTTTAGTGAATACAACTAAAGAGAGGCCACCATCTTCCTCAATGGAAAGACCTCCATTCATCTTGATGACAAGGATTGAGTCATTTTAGAAAAGGCTTGACTCCCTTGTACTTCATTCAGTCATCAAAATAATTCAGTTATTTTCTCATAGACAATCAGACATTTTGCGTAATGTTTTTTTCTCTGGGTCATTGCCAGCTGTCCTTGCCACTGGCTCTTTCAAATGTATTTAAGCAAACTTGTAGCAGAAACGTCACTTTCTAAAGAATAAGATGAGATAAGATAAGAAGTACTTTATTGATCCCAATTTGGGGAATGTTTGAATTGCAGCAGCATAAAAAGACAAGGGATTATACATTAGAGAAAATAAAAGACTAGAAATAAACAATTCAAAATGTAAACATCTCAAATTGAAATAAAATAGCATTAAAAAAGTAGAGAATATACATGTTGAAATGTAAATGTACAGTAAACAAAAATAAAGAAGGATATTATACATTAAGTGTGTAAGGAATGGAATATTACAGTTATCCAAGAGAAGCTATGGAGCAGAGAGTTCTCTTCCAGCCAGAGGATATGTTATACACAATGTCACTGATTGTTGAGATACTTTCTACTATGAGTTGCCTCTACACT